ACGTTTCCAGGTTTCTGTTTGTCAGTGCTCGCTGTACGACAGAGCACGCTGCACGACATTTTTGCAAGGATTAGAAGGAGCGTAGTGTTGCAATATACAAGTGCTTAGGTGTATCCAATAATACTGATTAATATTTATGTATCCGGTTGAATGACTTGGTCTCAAAATTCTGGACTGGTTATTGTACTAAGTTGCGCAATAGGACGGAACCCAGTCAGCAGGAAACGAGACTGAGGTGTAGTCAATGTTTTGACTTTGGTCGTTAGAAACATCCGGGTTCAACCTCGCTCAATTTAGGTGGTAAACTTTAGAAAAATGGGAGAAGATGGAGCACATGTACTCATATAATAGCCTATAAAACACAATGCCACTTAATAAAATGTTCTGTTAAACGACTGTTTGGAATTAACTTCCCATGGACTTGGCTTGTTGAACACAGCCGTACTCATCGCATGGCCGCACATCGAGGGCTGCAAGGAGCTATGATTACATTGTGTGTGAAACATGCATGTGAAATTATATCTTTAAGAAAGCATTTGTGAAGACTGTCTGTAATTAATGATAAGCTTCGTTTAAAATATGTGCGTGAGGTCAAATGTTGTCATGACTGACTGATTGAGTTTGGTTTTACGCCGCTTTTAGCAATATTCCAGCAACATCACGGCGGGGGACACCAGAAATGGGCTTCACACATTGTGCCCATGTGGGGAGTCGAACCCGGGTCTTCGGAGTGACGAGCCAACGCTTTAACCATTAGACTACCCCACCGCCCCAAATGTTGTCATGGGTGATAGATGGTGTAAATACGCTGATCGGACGGTGTACCACTGGAGTACTCACCATAAATTTCCCTTTAAGAAACGTGGTACTTGTAGATGTGAGTTGATATGAGAATTCGAATTAAAGCTTCAGTCAGGTGAAGACGGAAATCTTGACAGCTGTCGAATTTTGTGTTGTCATGCCAATACACGATTATTGTAATGACGTAATACATAAAACCGCGTTGTTTCATAATCATGGCAGTAATGTTAGGTGTAGGCAGCATGACCTTAACTAAGACGTCACAGACTGTCCCATTTCGATGAGGTCGTAAAATGATTCACAATTCATCTGGCTCACTGGTTACACATGTTATGTAGTGTTTGCGCTTATTCAAGGTAGTTCTGTAACACACAATATAATTGATATAATATCAAGTCCGTACCAGACCGCCTAACTTTTCTAGCGCGGCAGAGCCTCGTTTTGTGATTTCCACGATTTCCAGGTTTCTGTTTATCGGAGCTCGCTGTACGACAGAGCACGCTGCACGACATGTTTGCAAGGATTAGAAGGAGCGTAGTGTTGCAATATACAAGTGCTTAGATGTATCCAATAATACTGATTAATATTTATGTATCCGGTTAAATGAATTGGTCTCATAATTCTGGACTGGTTATTGTACTAAGTTGCGCAATAGGACGGAACCCAGTCAGCAGGAAACGAGACTCTTGTGTAGTCAATGTTTTGACTTTGGTCGTTACGAACATCCGGGTTCCACCTCGCTCAATTTAGGTGGCCTGTTAGTGATTATATTTCAGTAAGTGGTAAACCTCAGAAAAATGGGAGAAGAAGGAGCACATGTACACATATAATAGCCTATAAAACACAATGCCACTTAATAAAATGTTCTGTAAAACGACAGTTTGGAATTAACTTCCCATGGACTTGGCTTACTGAACACATCCGTACTCATCGCATGGCCGCACATCGAGGGCTGCAAGGAGCTGTGATTACATTATGTGTGAAACATGCATGTGGAATTATATCTTTAAAAAAAGCATTTGTGAAGACTGTCTGTAATTAATAATAAGCTTCGTTTAAAATATGTGCGTGTGGTCAGATGTTGTCATGGGTGATAGATGGTGTAAACACGCTGATCGGACGGTGTACCACTGGAGTACTCAACACAAATTTCCTTTCAGAAACGTGGTACTTGTCGATGTGAGTTGATGTGAGAATTAAAATTTAAGCTTCGTTCAGGTGAAGACGGAAATCTTGACAGCTGTTGAATTTTGTGTCGTCATGCCAGAATACACACCCTGTTGATAACAAACACATGGACACCTTAGATTATTGTAATGACGTAATACATAAAACCTTGTTTCATAATCATGGCAGTAATGTTGTAAGTTTTTAACTCACTGACAAAAAATGACAGAACTCATGAACACCTCGTAATACAATCCTGACAGAACTCATGAACACCTCGTAATACAATCCTGACAGAACTCATGAACACTTCGTAATACAATCCTGACAGAACTCATGAACACCTGGTTATACAATCCTAACAGAACCTATGAACACCTGGTTATACAATCCTGGCAGAACTCATGAACACCTGGTTATTCAATCCTAACAGAACCTATGAACACCTTATTATACAATCCTAACAGAACCCACGAACACCTGGTTATACAATCATGGCAAAATACACGAACACCTTATTATACAATCCTGACAGAACCCATGAACACCTGGTTATACAATCCTAACAGAACCTATGAACACCTGGTGATACAATCATGGCAAAATACACGAACACCTTATTATACAATCCTGACAGAACCCATGAACACCTGGTTATACAATCCTAACAGAACCTATGAACACCTGGTGATACAATCATGGCAAAATACACGAACACCTTATTATACTATCCTGACAGAACCCATGAACACCTGGTTATACAATCCTAACAGAACCTATGAACACCTGGTGATACAATCATGGCAAAATACACGAACACCTTATTATACATTCCTGACAGAACCCATGAACACCTGGTTATACAATCCTAACAGAACCTATGAACACTTGGTTATACAATCGTGGCAGAACCCATGAACACCTGGCTATACAATCATGGCAGAAAGCAGACCCCGTGAATCGGGAAATAAAACAGACAAAACCTTTAACATTTTCCTTAATCACTAAAATACCTGCATAACGCAGATCGTATTGTACGATTTCACTTGTATCATAGGCATGTGTTTATGAATCCCTTTGCAATAGTTTGATGACAGGTGTTCGGGGAAAGAACAGCGTATCCTGCCCCAAGAGTTTCCCCAGTTACAAACACATACAAAGGCATTTGAATTATTCACATGGAAAACACAGTAGTATATGTTACAAGACAAAATAGCGTAAAATATTACAGCTGTAAATAATCCAATCTCGACAAGACAAACCAGATTGTATAGCCAGGTGTTCATGGGTTCTGTCAGGATTGTATAACCAGGTGTTCATGAGTTCTGCCAGGATTGTATAACCAGGTGTTCATGGGTTCTGTCAGGATTGTATAACCAGGTGTTCAAGAGTTCTGCCAGGATTGTATAACCAGGTGTTCATGGGATCTGTCAGGATTGTATAACCAGGTGTTAATGAGTCCTGTTAGGTTGTATAACCCAGGTGTTCATGGGTTCTGTTAGGATTGTATAACCAGGTGTTTATTGGTTCTGTCAGGATTGTATAACCAGGTGTTAATGAGTGATGTTAGGTTGTATAACCCAGGTGTTCATGGGTTCTGTCAGGATTGCATAGCCAGGTGTTCATGAGTTCTGCCAGGATTGTTTAACCAGGTGTTCATGAGTTCTGCCAGGATTTATAACCAGGTGTTCATGAGTTCTGCCAGGATTGTATAACCAGGTGTTCATGAGTTCTGCCAGGATTGTTTAACCAGGTGTTCATGAGTTCTGCCAGGATTGTATACCCAGGTGTTCATGGGTTCTGCCAGGATTGTTTAACCAGGTGTTCATGAGTTCTGCCATGATTGTATAACCAGGTGTTCATGAGTTCTGCCAGGATTGTATAACCAGGTGTTCATGAGTTCTGCCAGGATCGCATAACCAGGTTTTCATGAGTTCTGCCAGGATTGTTTAACCAGGTGTTCATGAGTTCTGCCAGGATTGTATAACCAGGTGTTCATGAGTTCTGCCAGGATTGTATAACCAGGTGTTAATGAGTTCTGCCAGGATTGTATAGCCAGGTGTTCATGAGTTCTGCCTGGATTGTATAACCAGGTGTTCATGAGTTCTGCCAGGATTGTATACCCAGGTGTTCATGAGTTCTGCCAGGATTGTATAACCAGGTGTTCATGAGTTCTGCCAGGATTGTATACCCAGGTGTTCATGAGTTCTGCCAGGATTGTATAACCAGGTGTTCATGGGTTATGTCAGGATTGTATAACCAGGTGTTCATGAGTTCTGTTAGGTTGTATAACCTGGTGTTCATGGGTTCTGTTAGGATTGTATAACCAGGTGTTCATGAGTTCTGTCAGGATTGTATAAGCTGGTGTTCTGCACCGGGTTGCAACGACATGCAACCATGTCACCACACCCGACTACCGCATCCATTCAGTGCCATGTGCTACTAGCAAATCATCCCACCCTAGAATACCCATGGGCTATATCCCTCCACACTATATAACACAGATGGGAGTATAATCTTGCATGTCTATGATCGTCATTTAGGAGATGGTAAAACATGAACCGTTTTTAGCTAAAAACGTGTCTATTGCTTGTGAGACGTTCATGAACACGTCTTGTCCCTTCATCCGATGAAGTCAACGGTGCGAAAAGTAGCCATAAACTGTCGTTACAAAGTGGTAGTATTCAACTCAGCGATTCAGGTCTTCATAAATCATTCACTTTAAAATAGTACATTGCTTCAGTGTCGTCATAGCTGCAAATCCCTCCTGTTCCCCTGCCGTCAAGGATACAGATTGTGCAATGTCAACACATTGTACACGTATGGATTGTGTAATATCCTCATGCCTGCACATTGTACATATATACTCATGCCAATAATGGTTGTCACCGCCACCCCACCCCAACCCCCACACACCCCACACCTCCTCTCCAATAAAAACATTAGAAGGGGGTGACAACCATTATTGGCATGAATATATGTAGCATGCAGACATTAGTGTTAGCTTGAATTATTACCGTGATTCCTGGCAGCCAGCCCTGGTACTCCCCCGTCGGTCAAGAGCTTGGGAGGTACCAAGACTTGGGTACCAAGAACAATCGGGTACCACAACATGTTATTTCAAAAATCTTGTCAATCACTCTCAAGAGATATGACTGATTTTACAGATTTATAAAAGCGACAAGGACAGGTTTGTCTATATACGCCTGAGGCTGTATAAGGGCCTGCTCTAAAGAACTGCATTATTTTCATTTCCCTTGACTCCCTCCCACCATGGATGGACCTCCCAGTGTTGGGAGTCTTCACATTCTCCGAAATGTTCTTTGTGGGCTCGACAGGCAGCGCTTTATCGGAGATGTCTCATTCTCCGTCTGGGCTGTCTGTAAAGAGGACAAAGGGCTTACTATGCCAGGATCACCCAAACCATCTGTTTGTTTCAATCTGTAAAGTATACTGGGGGAACAAAGTAAGGGATCACATGAAATCACAAGTGTTCCCTTATTTTTTTCCAGGTTTCCTCACAAGCTATGTGATACTAAGCTTGTGAAGAAACCTGGAAAAATATAAAGGAACACTTGTCCTTTCATGTGATCCCATATGTTTTCCCCTCAGTATGTTAACACTATATTCATATGTAGCTAGCATGCTCATGGGGCATCAGAGTTATTACTCTGACCAACAACTCAGTGTGCGAACACATTACATTTTCAGCTTCCTGGGATGTATTCAGCTGTCTTTCAGACTCGAAAGTTTTGCATTCACGTACGCACTTCAACAAACCGTGTTCCCTTGGCAACGTGATGATAGGAGACTTTGCTACGAAGTCAGTTACCAAGCGTTCGGTATATACAAGCAACAAAGTCCTTTCAAGAAATGTCTGTCTATTGAGTAATTCCAATTGTATCAGATCATGTGTTTAAACATCACAGTCAGATTGTAGTTGTAATATGTGTTAGCGAAATGGTGTGTCTATCCTGCTCTCTGAATGGCAACAAACACAGAACAAAAACGCTATAAGAAATTCAAAGGAGCGTCAATTTTTCACGCAAAAACTGGGAACATATAACTCAAAATACTGAATGACATCGAATATCAGTTTTGTCACTGATACGTCAAATTCGGAAATGTTCCCCCAGTGTTTACCATAAAACTTTTGAAAACTTTACTATAAAGGCAATGAATCTTGTAACTCAAATCAAACATCTTTTGAACTAGTGTCGTTTGACACATTTTGAATCTTTCTTGAAAGAGCACGCTCGATCGTACCTCAAAAGTTGTGAAATGTAAACTTCAAAGGCGGGAACTTTTGCCATATTTCTTGACTTAAAGGAAAACTCGACTATTAAAAAGTTGAAGTTATCCCTTGTCATTCAGTCTTTTGATTTAATGACTTTTTAGTGAATTTTTGTTTTAATGACTTTTTTTGTGAATTTTTGTCAAAGATCAAGTCACTGCCAGAAGCTGCACTGCAACCACACATTTCGCCCCTGATAGTGATCTGACGTGGTTCCGGTCCCTGATAGTGATCTGACGTGGTTCCGGTTTACCTGGCTGAGGTCCACGATACTGATCAGGCATGGCTTCAGGCTCCTGATTCCGGGCTTCAGGTCCTGATAGTGACCTGACGTGGCTTCAGTTCCCCGATACTGACCTGACGTGGCTTCCGGTCCCTGATAGTGATCTGACGTGGTTCTTCCGGTCCCTGATAGTGATCTGACGTGGCTTCAGGCCCCCGATAGTGACCTTACCTGGCTTCAGGTCCACGATACTGATCAGGCGTGGCTTCAGGCTCCTGATAGTAACCTGGCGTGGCTTCAGGTCCCTGATAGTGACCTGGCGTGGCTTCAGGTCCCTGATAGTGACCCTGCGTGGCTTCAGGCTCCTGATAGTGACCCTGCGTGGCTTCAGGCTCCTGATAGTGAGTGGCTTCAGGCACCTGATAGTGACCTGGCGTGGCTTCAGGCTCCTGATAGTGACCTGGCGTGGCTTCAGGCCCCTGATAGTAACCTGACGTGGCTTCAGGTCCCTGATAGTGACCTGACGTGGCTTCAGGTCCCTGATAGTGACCTGGCGTGGCTTCAGGCTCCTGATAGTAACATGGCGTGGCTTCAGGCTCCTGATAGTGACCCTGCGTGGCTTCAGGTCCCTGAAAGTGACCTGACGTGGCTTCAGGTCCCTGATAGTAACCTGGCGTGGCTTTCCTGATAGTGACCTGGCGTGGCTTCAGGTCCCTGATAGTGACCTGCGTGGCTTCGTGGCTTCAGGTCCCCTGATAGTGATGCCCAGGACGATAGTGACCCTGCGTGGCTTCAGGTCCTGATAGTGACCTGCGTGGCTTCAGGTCCCCTGATAGTGACCTGCGTGGCTTCAGGTCCCTGATAGTGTGTGGCTTCAGGCTTTGAGGTGACCCTGATGGCTTCAGGTCCCTGATAGTGACCTGCGTGGCTTCAGGTCCCTGATAGTGACCTGACGTGGCTTCAGGGTACTGATCTGATAGTGATACTGACCAGGTGGCTTCCGGTAACTGAGGTCCCTGGCGTGGCTTCAGGCTCCTGATAGTAACCTGGCGTGGCTTCAAGCTCCTGATAGTGACCGGGCATGGCTTCAGGTCCCTGATAGTGACCTGACGTGGCTTCAGGTCCCTGATAGTGACCTGCGTGGCTTCAGGCTCCTGATAGTGACCTGGCGTGGCTTCAGGCTCCTGATAGTGACCCTGCGTGGCTTCCGGTCCCTGAAAGTGACCTGACGTGGCTTCAGGTCCCTGATAGTAACCTGGCGTGGCTTCAGGCTCCTGATAGTGACCTGACGTGGCTTCAGGTCCCTGATAGTGACCTGCGTGCCTTCAGGTCCCGGATAGTGACCCTGCGTGGCTTCAGGCTCCTGATAGTGACCTGCGTGGCTTCAGGTCCCTGATAGTGACCTGCGTGGCTTCAGGTCCCTGATAGTGACCTGACATGGCTTCAGGTCCTTGATAGTGACCTGGCGTGGCTTCAGGTCCCTGATAGTGACCTGCGTGGCTTCAGGTCCCTGATAGTGACCTGCGTGGCTTCAGGTCCCTGATAGTGACCTGACGTGGCTTCAGGCTCCTGATAGTGACCTGGCGTGGCTTCAGGCTCCTGATAGTGACCTGGCGTGGCTTCAGGCCCCTGATAGTGACCTGCGTGGCTTCAGGTCCCTGATAGTGACCTGACGTGGCTTCTGATAGGACCTGCCTCAGGATAGTGACCTGGCGTGGCTTCAGGCTCCTGATAGTGACCTGACGTGGCTTCAGGTCCCTGATAGTGACCTGCGTGGCTTCAGGTCCCTGATAGTGACCTGACGTGGCTTCAGGCCCCCGATAGTGATCTGACGTGGCTTCAGGTCCACGATACTGATCTGACGTGGCTTCAGGTCCACGATACTGACCAGGCGTGGCTTCCGGTAACTGATAGTAACCTGGCGTGGCTTCAGGCTCCTGATAGTAACCTGGCGTGGCTTCAAGCTCCTGATAGTGACCGGGCATGGCTTCAGGTCCCTGATAGTGACCTGGTGTGGCTTCAGGTCCATGACAGTGACCAGTCTACTATGTACATGACCACGTGACGACCTTCCGACATGTTACGGAATTTGTTTCTCAAACAGAATATTCAACAAGCTAAAAATACACATATCATGAGCTAAAGATACCGAGGGGGACTAGAACGAAATGTAATGAAACTTCCCAGCGAAACAAACCGCTAATAAACGCATATAGTTGTAGTGAATGAGTGAGTGAGTGTGTATGCTTTACGCCGCTTATAGCGATATTCCAGCTATATCACGGCTGAAATGGGCTTCTGGAACACCAGAAATGGGCTTCACACATTGCATCCCCATGTGTGGAATCGAACCCGGCTCTTCGGCGTGACGACCGAACGCTATAACCACTAGGCTACCCCACCGCTCCGCATATAAGCTTTATGCTATTGCTTAGACTCTCATACAGACCCTTAAACAAAATATATCCAAGAAAGCCCATGCAAGTCTAGGTTTCAACAGTTTCAGGCAGTGAAGAAAGACTCAGGACTCCTTATCAAATATTATAATTTTTTTTATTATGAACTGTATTTCTTCTGTAAAAAAATACGTTTATTTTAGAGATAAGTTGTTAGTCTAGCTTTTGCTGAAGTAATACTTTTCTGTAAATAACATCAGCGTGTTCAATAACAAAATGCTTGCTGATACTGTTATTTTATTGTTATTTCTTTTTAAAGTTTATAATAAAATAGAATATATAAGCATGCATAGATGAAATATAAACAACGTTATTGAAAGTGATACGTGGCTGCTCTCACTGCTGTGGGCGACGTGTTAAGACCGAGATCACAGTCTCCATACGCTGCCATCAGCCTCGTACATTATGCATCTCTGGCATTGTGACATGATGCAATATCCCCGTGACATGACACTCACTGAATGTATACTTCCGTAATCCCAGATCAGTCGTAATGCTACCAGCAAATCAATAATATATACCAGGCAGGTGATATTAGACGAGGGAGAGCTTTGAAAACACTGCGGAAACGTTTCAGGATTGATCCCACCTCGACGTTCGAACACCACATCAGTTATTGAGCCAAACGGGTGTTGCTATGCATTTCTGGTTGTGTTTGGGTGGACTTGACGAGTGGAATGTTTCCAGCATTTCTCTGATTGAGTTTTGGGTTGAAATGATCTAAACTTCACATTGATGAAACATGCGGGGAGCCCGGGATTCGAACCGGATTTGGCATCACTAAGGGAGTTAACTCTGCATTGCAATAGCAGCATCTTAGATGGTTGGTCACAGATGCCCTGACCCAAAGCAGGTCCCGTTCTAAACAATAAAATAACTGCATAATTTAAGTTTACAGTTTACATGCAGGACAACAAAAGTGTTTAAATTGTAGCAGCTTTGATATAATTCTATAACATACTATTATGTGATTTTTAACAATGCCCTTTACCCACGTGTTCCCTACAACAACATTATTCACAACCAATGTGCATGTTGTTGCCCACGGTATTGTCAATGTAGACAGAATGATTATATGATATGTTTTTAAGGTACTATGTAGGGAGTAGAAAGGTTTCCCCCGCGTCCTTAATATTTAGCATACCCCGGGTCACTGGTATTAAACGCCCACTCAAATCTTAAGCTTTCATGTTCTTGAAAAACTTTTCAGCTATGGAATAAAAGGTCTAAATTTAGACAGGAATAGCAGACTGAGAATTGTTTGCTAAGGCGAAGCTGAAAGAAAGATCGGTAAAGCGTGAATTTGATGAATGAAAGAAACTGACGAAAGAACAGTTTCGCGAAAGGCCACGCCTGAGTATATTCACGTGGAGACACAGTTATGGTTGCAAGCCTATATTACCGCGCCAGCTGAAGGGCTTGTCGAACCCTCCCTGTACACATTAGGGTACAATGGTGCAATATGTACCCGATTTAGAGGTAATGGGTGGTGTATATATATATATGCACTGGGAGTTTAGCCTGGAGACAGACACGAATAGCGTGGACAGCATGTGAGAGACGGGTTATGACCACAGGCTGGAGAAGATGCACGAAGCTTGTGGTATGTGTGTGTGCATAAGTCCGTCATCCCTTGCCACAGTCATCCAACCGTCACATCTCACCGATTCATGGTGAAATTAAGCAATAGTGTAAAGAAGTATGCTATGAAGGCTCACAGTAAAATGTATGGATGCAGACAGCCTACAAAAGATACATTTTGAAAATATATTTCTCTTTTTTTAATCCAGATTTTAATTTCCCAGGCTCTTGCCAGGCACTCATAGCCGTTACAGTCTTGTCACTCTTGGGCAGATAATATCTACACTGCTGAAGAGTAGCCAATGGGAGACTCATTGGAAACCTGTGGGGTTTTCTTAGGTTTGCATCCCAGCCTTTAATTAAAACTATGAATATTATTTGGATATTTAAGAAGAGGTGTGCAGATCACCCTTATGCATCTTCCAACCATGAGTGCAGCTGAACCGACCTTTACTTGGAGGAGGCATGTGTGACGCTACAGAGTGAGTGAGTGAGTTTAGGTTTACGCCGCATTCAGCAATATTCCAGTAATATCACGGCGGAGGACACCAGAAATGTGCTTCACACATTGTAGCCATGTGGGTAATCGAACGCAGATCTTCGGCGTGACGAACGAACGATTTAACCGCTAGGCTACCTCACCGTCCCTAGAGTAAAACATGACTGTATGCACAAAGGGGTATTCATATTGTACACACCTACATGTTGTTTTACGTGTGTCGTAAAACTACTTTTCGTGTTGCATGAATTTGAATGGTGCTCTACTTGATACTGAGGTCGCACATGACTGAATTATGTGATGATGGCTATTATGTATGCTGCGTGGGCAATTAGACCGTGACGTCTGTGAAGATGATGTAGCGATTAGTCGACTTGCATGACCAGCAATTTTGAAATGAAACACTTCGAAGAGCAAGCAGATATAACATCATGCCTACTGTGCCTTCTGATGGGCCCTATGCCTATCCATGACGCACTGTGTTGATGAAGTTGGTTACTAACTACTTTTCAACCTCATCCCTCCAAGGTTCTGTCAAAGTTGCTGGATCCCCATGGTAAAGAGGCCTTCTGATGGCGTAAAGAGTCCTCCAAATACAGAAATACGGATCCTCATTTGCATTATTCAGTGCCAGACAGGTCTAAATAGTTTGAAGAGAGGTGAAAACCGTCGGTGGTGAAGATGTTCAGTGAGTTTAGAACTGCTGTCAGGCAGTGCAGCCATGACGACAAAGTCTCATGCACAGATGCATTGTCCCGTTGGAAACATTTGTTTAGTCTCGTTACTCTGTTGCAATTTCCTGAGCAGACAAGCATAATATTGGCCATTCAATAATCTGATCAATCGGGAGGCAGTGAACCAGTAGTATTCCTTTTGTATCCTGGGAATTGCAGCTGCTGGAAAAGACTTTACCCTTTTCGGATGAGGGGAGGTGGGATGTTTCCACTGCTCCACTGTGACTCTTGTTTATGCTCGGCTGATAGTGGTGAACCCTAGATTCAGGGCCCCGTTCTGCAAAGAATTCTTAACACTTAGACGATCCAAACTTTAACATAGACTTACGACAGTCGCAATGCTAAGATCGCTTTGTGAATCGGGGCCCGGATGGGTCACAGTGACGTTAAGTTTTGAACCGGGGAGCGTTCTGACTCTTGTGGGCAGCGTTCGAAATTAACGTTGGGCCTTAGGCCCGAAGCATACTGAAAACCACTTGGACCCACAGCTTTTCTTTTCTGCAGGTCTCTATGGCCGGCAGCTTTTTCATCCCCAATAACTAAGAGTATTATTTTCTTATTAAAATACAGGACCTACACATTCTGATCAGGACCCACAACTGTTTATGGTTCTGGGTCCTTAGGGTCTGCAGCTTTTCAGGGTTGAGGGCACACGCTGTTTGTGGGTATTTATCCATAACATCATGTGCTGACCACAACCAAATACTCCACTTATACGCAGTTCCTTCAAGAAAAGCTCAGTACCAAAATATCAAATGACTCACGCATTCCCGCCAGGACGTGATGTCAACCCATGTGAAACACCACGACCCTTTTTGTCCCTGTAGGGAAGACATTATAAAACAGCATTTTAAAGGAGAGGCGGTTTTGAAACACGGGTATGGTTCAGAATATGTCTTTAAGAGTCAAACCAAGCGTTATATCAAGGGTATATGTTATATATATCAATATCTATATATAGTATCTGACTCATTTAACGCCCCATGGTTACCTTTCAGGGTGTTTCAACTGCTCTACAGACCTCTTTGAACGCCATCTGCACATACCGGGTAATCTTACTTAACTCATCGGTCGGTTGACTAGTACAATGGCGATACGGCTGGGCTATCATCAGTAGAAAACACGTCTCACGTCAACAGAAGCGAAAGACCACTAGGGGAAATGAGTTTGCATTTGAACCTGTTGTGCTGTTGTGTAACGCAATATTTATTCCGCCTTTACTATATTTCTATGGCATGTAATACATCAGTTCCAGATGAAACGTCGTTCTCAATTAACAGACTCTAATTGTCACAAATGGCGCAGTTGCGGAAGACCGTTGAAAATTAGAGGTGACACCAGGTGGTGGGAAGGGTAGTGTCAGTGATGTTCACCTTCGAGGCTCGTCAATTCTGGGTTCGAATTCTCAGTTGGGTGCAATATTTTAGTCCATTTCATGTGTGTTCCACCCGATGTAACACTGGTGGAATAATACTTGAAGCGGCGTTAAACCTTACTCACTCACTGATGCTCCGTTTCGCCTCAGACCCGTGAAGATCCGGGTTAGAATTGGTCTTCAGCGACTAACGGGATCGGGTGGTTAAGTTTGCTGACTTGCTTGACACATGTCACCGTATCCCAAATGGGTAGACCAACGCTCATTATCATGCACCCAGTACACCACTACCATTTACTTAGTACACCATTACCTTCACCAAGTGCAACACTACGATTAA